GGAAAGGGCAGTGTTATGACAGAAGAAGTCATGTGATGCTGGTGACACGTCGGTTAGGCCCGAGTGTATTCTTCATTGGTATATAAGCCTAGCAGAGAAGCCAGCAATAGATAGGTAATTAAAGAAGCGAACAGTAGTGACGGTAATATAAATTGTGTGTTTGTACTTATAGAGAGAAAAGTTATCGAGATTGTGAATCGCTGTGATTTATAGTGTGTATTATAAAAGTAGTTAAGTTTAAAGTGACAAGAAACGTACTGACTGTGGAATTACTGTGTACTAAAAGTTTCTATCGAGAAAGAATAAACTGGTTTAATCAAGAAGGGACTTGTATCCCTGAAGTTCCTCGGAAATAATTTATACCGGAAATTAACAAACAAGCAGATACGTAACAATATTCTAACTTCTCTAAAAATCAAACAGAAAACATGATAAGCCTCTAGAAAGTAGAAAGTTCATAAAAATAATAATAATTAAAAAATGAAACATTCATTAATATGCAAAGTCATCAGCAAAAACTAAAATAATTAAATTACTTATTTAATGTCATACTACTGGTTTATAGCTAATATTAACTATATATATAACAGTAAATTAAATAAACAGGAGGTATAACCAAAGCTGTTCATTATTGCCCTAAACAATACCCCAAGAAATAAAAGTGTAGATGTGAAAGATTTTAAAATGTTGTTATACTTTGTAAAACTTCTAAACCCATAACTGTAGCACAAATGTTGTTGAATTTCCCACACAATGGTATAAATTTTGTGTTTAAAATGCATAATGAGAAACCTCAATTACGAATAAGAGCAGTAATTTTACAACCTCTATATATACAGTCTTGTAATAATGAATAAATTCTATTGTATCTAAGAAGTTGAGAGGAGTAAACATTGTAATATAACTTGGAATATTTGTACTTTTGAATAGAAAGTTTATAGCTTCAATGTTGAAAGTGCCCATTTTATTCAACTTTACATGGCTGATGAACATGCTTATAACTAACAGAAAAAACAGATTCTCCTCTACCTGAACTTTACACCATTTTTTTTCAATTTATGGGGAGAGAATACAGTGATAGGAATGTCTCAGTTTGTGGTCATTGTACTTTTGCTCCAAATGGTTAACAGAATATTTTTTACCTACATATAGCTTACTCTATATTTGAATAACTACATGAAATATTTTTTGAATACCCAAATTAGGTATAAGGGTATCAAGTGCAAAAAGATGAGTACAAGAATTCTTTGTTTTTTTATGTTTATTTGTTTGTTGTTAAGCACAAAGCAACACATTGGGCTATCTTTGTTGTGCTCACCAAGTGTATCAAAAACAGTTTTTAGTGGTGCGAACCCTCAGAGATACCACTGAGCTACTGGGCAGCATGGCTCCAGGATCTTTTTTTTTTATGCATGGTTGTTTGTGTAAATTTTTTTATCTATTGTTACATATTTTTCAACAAATATGACTAAAATGTAAAAATTATAAAACTTCACAGCTTAGCATAACAACACTTAAGTAAAATAAAATGTCTAAATTTTTCCATTGTCATTCTTATACAGAAGAATCCATGCTCATACTTAAAAACTCAGTATTTCAACTGTTGCTGTGTTAGATGTTCTAACAAAAACCATTACTTTAATTATACCCTACTAAGGCACTATTTCATGCATGACTAAGAAGAACTTTATCAAACAGCTAAATCCAGAAGTTCAGTTAATTACAAGGTGTCTTTAAGACAGTCTATGTTAAAATGACTTTTTCAACTTTAATGACAAACAAAATTATTAGTGGAAGGAGTTCACATGCCCAAGGTGCAACCATGGACATATTGGATCAACCAACAGAAGGTTCTGCAGTTGAGTAAAAGAACACTGTGATGCTGAACCCTACAACACCAACCACTGTCTAAACAACCATGATAAGGTGCTTACTCCAGTTTTTTCAAGTCTTCTTCCATTACTAGGATGAATGTCACCTTAGAATACTAGATTCTCTTACTATTCAGCCAACAAAACCAGCTTTTAATCAGAAGAAGAAAATGTTACTACTACATTTTCAGTTTTGAAAATGAACAGAACATGAACTTCAACTGCATTAAACTTCTGAAGCATGTATATTCAAATACTATAAATATATATATATATATACAATATTTAGAGAAGAGTTAATCTTATGAAACTGTACTTTGTTATTATGATTATGTAATGTAATGTGCATATTGACATAAAAAATAGGATTTTATTACAATGGTTTAAGCATAACATGGATGTGAAATGTACCTATCAATTAATACAGAAAAAAGGAAAGGAAAAAATACCATGCTACATCCATGCCGATCAGTACAATTAGTAAACATTCACTCTTTTCAATTTCTTAGATAACAAGTGAGTGTATGTAGGTGTGTGAATTCAATGCTTTTCAAGGCCTTCCATGCTCTGTACAATTTAATTATAGTGTACTAATGTATACACTTACATTAACCAAACCTAAATATTCTTTCAATAAAAGAATTTTCAGCAGTTTTCCTATCTTACTTTAATTCCTGCTTCTTTAAGAGCGACTAAGGTTTCATAGACACCATCCTGAAGCTTGTCATCCACAGCTGTAGCTCCTAATAATGTCATGTTTTGTTCTATTTCATCAATAACTCTTGAAACCTGTAAGTAAAATATTAAACAGACTTGTACTACAAACAATGAAAAAAAGTATCTGCTCTACTTCAAAACTTACATAGCTGAAAACTCTACATAAAAATATGAAATCTAAGCTATTATATAAAATAAATTCAACATTAAAAACCTAGAGCTTACTTAAATGCAAGCTTCATAATTCTTTATAACATTGAGAATTTTGTTGGGAAAAGTTTAGTTTCTAAGGTTGTTTGTTTAAGATTTGGTTTTGTTTCTATTTACAAAGTGTTAAAGTGACTGAAGCACAAGTAATCAATTCAATAATGTGTAGAAATTGCAAGGGAAATGGTATGATGTAGGATGTCTTAGTAACCTTACAAAAAAGACTGCCAATGTTATAATCCCACTCATTAACCCTTTCCACACAGGTCAAAGGCCATGTTATCATGTTTGTTGACTCGCATTCAAAATGTTACTGAACTACTATTTTATGTATTTATGTCATTAAGTTTGCTATCAAACTGTAGATTGTAATTCAAATTTTAGTATTATACATTATTTAATTTCTTAATTTAAAAGTAAATATTAAGAAAACACACCTAAACATCGATTTTTGTCTGTCACTTGATATGTTGAATGCAGCACTGGTTCAAATTAGATGTTTGTGAAGTCAAAAACTAAGTCTACAGTTTCGTGCGAATTAGAAACTCAAATTACTGATATTGACAAGTGATAATATAAAATAAGAACATCCTATCTTTTCTTTTTGCCGAGATATCTCTCATTACTGAATCAAACGCAGTGGCGAGGCTCACCTCTTTCCATTTTTGGAAACAGTCCCTTATATATACACTTACTTCTATATGTGACTTGTGAATAATCAATCGAAAGCTCAGAATCCCCCTAGTGGCTTTCTCAGCCATTTTCAAATATAAAGTTGTTTATCTTTCTTTCGATACATAGAGGTAAGTTGAGTCTTTAGTCTGTTCAAAATTTCATATTTTTTTTAGACCCAAATACAGCCTTGTTACTAAAATTGATAAATTATAATTGAATT